TATTTAAATGATTAAATATATATATGACAAAATATAATCATTAGTTTACAAATCTTTGTTTTAAATGTATTATAAATACAAATAGAGAGATTAAATTTCATCATACGACTTTGGGTTATTCTAATAACTTTTTTGCCAATAGTTGTAATTATGTTGACTTAAATACAATTTGTAAGTAAACGGATCTCAACTATAATATCTACATTTCATTTTTAGATCATTATAGTTCAATTAAATGTTATAACATTAATTTACAAATTTATGAAATCAAGACCTTATTCTAGATTCTTGTTATATATTTCATTTCTTCTTAAATTTATTTTGTTTTTAATAAAAATGTAATTAATTCTCCTTTAATTATAACATTATTATTGTAAACTTAAACAATCATTATGAACCATTTTTTCCATACATTTACTTAGCCTAAATTTGAGAAACTTAGGTTAAGATTAGGAATCAGCACCAAGAAATCATTATGCCCATTGATATTGTAATTATTATAAATTGATGAACTTTAGTTAAAATTTTGGAATGAATTTTTTGTATCCATTTCGATTAGGAGAAGTACTTATTAGTATTTCTAAATTAGACAGAATTAAAAATAGATTGATTTAAAAGAATTCTGCTTTTGATCATAGTTCTGTTCTGCCTTCAATTTAGCCACAGCATATTACATTAATTTAAAAAATAACAGAATATTAGAAACATGCTTTATTATCTATTATTTTGGAGTATTTTGTTATACAAATTTAATTGAGGAATGTGATCTCCAAATTTAGAATTTTTAATCAATTGCCAAGGTCTTTAATCTCATATATGATAACTTCTTATTTGTACAGATTTTGAAAGCTAAGATAGTTATTTAAATTACAGAATCTTTCTTCACAAAATGGAATTTTAGAGTCTCATCTAATCTTGAGGGAGGAATCCAGGTTTCAAGTATTTAAGGGTTTAAATTCTGAAATAGTTTATATCTTAGATTACAAACTTAAATTAACTAATATTAATAATATTCATTTTTCATAAACTTAAAGATAAAATGAAATTATATTTTTATATTCTGTATAAAACAGTACCTATTCAAAATTCATATTCTAAATAAAATTTGAATTCTAATAATAAATTGTTTCCTTTGCAATTTGAAATTAATTTTAGAGTAACTATTCAACCAAAAAGAGTATTGAATATGTAAATATGATCACTCTTAATAAAAAAGATAAAGAAGAATCTAAATTATGTGATATTGAAACATATTTCAAATAAAGATGCATGATAATTAATGTCTTTATAGATGTCATTTTGAATCTGAAATCATTAATACATAATATGAACTATTATTGATTCTTATTATAAGTATTAAATAAAATCTGAATTCTATTATTAATATTTAATGTCTAATTGTAAAATCATTTGTGAGATGCCTGATATGTAAATAATTCATCTTGAATGTAAACCTTAAGACGTCAAAGATGAATTGTCTAAAAGAACAAATTAAATATCTCATGATTCCATCATTCTTATTGATATCTCTGAAACAGTATAGAAGGGATCAAATTCTATAAGTTAAACAAAAAATACCGAAATTAGAGATTACATTTATTTCAAGGTTTATGATGTTACTTTACTTTATGAAGAGCTTATAGAAATGAGAAAGATTAAAGCTGAAACCGAATTGAAAATCAAAGAAATCGAGGATAAATATAACTTGCTCTAATTAGATTAAATTACTATGGCTAATAATAGTAATAGTCAAGATCAAAGAATTATATAATTAGAATAAGAAAATAAAATATTCTAAAGTAAAAATAAACAATTGGAAATGGAAGTTGATTCTTGGAAGAACACAATAAATTACATGTGGTAATCGTATTCGAATCATCTGTCCCAATTAATTTTACAATTTAATTTTAATAGTGCCTAAGCTAATCAAGGTTAATAAATGAAGAATCTAGAGAATTTAGAAACATAAATTTAAGTATTATAAGTTTAATTATAATATTTAAACAAAGAGACAGATGAACAAAAATAAAAGTTAAAATAAAAAAAGGAAAAATTAGATAAAGCTAACTCTAATTTTTTTAATGCTGAAAATCATATTAAATAATAAAATGATAAGATTTAAAAGTATGAAATAGAAATAATACACCTAAAAGATAGTATTAACAAATAAGAATTGAACAATTCACACTCTTTAAGTTATACTCAAGATGATGGAAAGAATGCTTTAATAAGTAAGGAAAACCAAATTTAAAAATTATAATATAGTAATAACAATTTAACTTAAAAGATTTAAAATTTAGAGTTGGAAATCTAGTAGTTAAGTGATTCTAAATTGAATGTGGAGACTTAAAACAATATTTTAAACTGTAAAATAATGAGTTTGGCTTAAACTATTGATCAATTAAATTAGGAGATTTAGGCTATGCAAATCAAAATAATAAGAAAAGTTTCTGATTCGAATAAAGGAATAATAAATAATAATAAAGATAACGAAAAATAACTTGAGTCTGAAAGTAAATTTAAAAAACTAAATGAAGAAATGAAAGAAAAATAGCATTAAGTTGAAATTTAATAATTATTTGATGAAATTAAAATATAAAGTGCTGACATTTTGAGGGCAAAACAAACAGAAATAAATTAATTGAAGGCAGAAAAAGAAGAGTAAATAAAGCTAATCTAGGATTAAAATAATAAGTTTGAATAAAACTTAAACTCTAAAATTCTCTAAAATAATATGCTGGAGCAAGTAAATTACGGACTCTATTCAAATTTAGAATAATCAAATCAACATTTGCATATGAAATATTAAGAAAATAATTACTTAACTGAAACGATATATAATCTTCAAAAATCATTAGATATGGAATAATAAAATTCAATAGCTGATATCGAAAAACTAAAATCTAAGTTAAAGTAATAAAAAGAACAATTAGAAGGCTTTGCTTAGGAAGGTTTGTAAGAAATACAAACTATTGTTTCATAGTAAAAAGATTAAATTAAAAATTGTGAAAATGAAATAAAAAAATTAAGGGATTATATTGATGATTTAGAAATGAAACTTTAGATCCTAAATACTAAGGTAGAAGAGGCTACATCTAATCTCTAAAGAAAAGAGATAGAAATTAAAAAGTATAAAAATATAAATCAGAATTTAAATTAACAAATTGAACAATTATAGTCTGACAAATTATAATTAAGAAATGAAAAATAGAATTTAGAGTTTATAACAAGTTGCTAAAACTAACGAATTATTGGATTAATGTCAAATCTAGATGAATTGGATTAGATTGAATCGGATTTTTTTAAAAATAAATCAGATTTCGACACCTAAACAGATCAATTGAGAATTTTACAAAAATAAAAAGAACTTCTTGACCTAGAAAATAATGATTTAAAAAATTCATTATAATAATAATGGAAAGAATTGTAACAATAAAAAGTGGACGAAAAATAATGTAGTGAAAGTAAAATAATACAATTGGAATCTATAATTGCTAAATTGGAATAAGAATTAATGATGGTTTGTAATAATAATAGAGAAATCTAAGATACTGTCAGATAGTGTAAACTCAAGATTAGTGAAAAAGAGGGGCGTATAATGTAACTAGAAATTTAATTGAATCAAAAGGAAAAAAAAATTTAAGACTTAATTGCTGAGTTATAACTCAATATCAAAAATCATATACTTTCAAAATTATCAAATTATGATGATACATATAATGATAAAATAATTGGTATTATGGAAAAAATAATGTCATCACCATATAAAATAAACCAATTTAAAAAAGATGAAAATATTAAGTTTGATCTGGAGGAATATGAAATTTTTGAGATAAGTTCAGATAATGAATAGGCAAAACAGCTTTTGAACAACAATTAGATTTATTTATTTGAAAAATGTTTAAGAAAGATTCCAAAGGGAAAAGTCACCTTAAATAGAAGTAAATAACCAAGTGCTGTATCTACATTTTTTAAGGGTTATTTAAGCGTGGTAAGTGAAGCAAGTTAAAATGAGTTTAAAGGAAAATTCTTTTTAATAAAAGACCTAAACACATAAACTCAACCATTTACCACTATAGATGAGGCGATTTAAATGTCTAAAAATGACTTCTTGTGTTAATTCTTAATGGAACAATTTAATAAAGTTTTATAATCAGAAAAATTAAAAGAAGGAGACTATAGAATTGCCAGACAGTTTGTCTTAGAAATTAAGGGTAATTATATGAATATACTTAATAGATAAACTAGAATATTATTATTGTGAAATGGTAGAGGAAGGGGAATTCAAAAAGATAAATGGTGGAGTATTCGAACTTAAAATTAGTGAAGTAGATTCCTATTTTAATGCTTTCACTAAATATGTCTATACATTTTCAAATCATAACTATATTATAACTTATCTTTAAATTTGTGGAAAAATAGTTTATGATATGATAGTAAGTACTTCAAACAAATGGTTGTTTTCATTTTAAGATTAAGGATAAGCTGAAATTTAATAGGTTTTAGAAATTCTTAATATGAGCCCTATGTTTTGGAATGAAAAAGTAGAAAAAATTGCTTAGAAAGGACTTAAATGAATAATTAATTGTCTAAAATATCAACCGATCCTCTAATTTCTGGATTTCAATTCTTAGTTATATTAATGTTTCTTAGATCAGTTGGTAGTAATAGCTAATTCAATTAATACTTTTTCATTTATTGCGAAACAAAGTTCCAATATAGATTAATAAGATAAATTCTTATTTTTGTTAACATTATTCAACATTTTTTCTAAGTTTTGTAATTTATCGAAATAGTTATTTTCTTATTATTTTTTAATCAAGATCTTAAAATAAATCCTGTACTTTTAGATTCAAATTGCAATTGGTTTTATAATTAAATATTATAATTAGAATCCAGTTTCAATACCAAAAGTTATACCTTCACCAAGCATAATAAGTAAAATCGTTTAAATAAAATTACTAAATTTCAAGTTTTGAAAAAGAAGAACTAAAATAAACAAATATGTGTAATTATATTTTTTAAGTATTCACCTTATATAAGAAAGATATTAAATATAAATATTAGTCATTCTAAAATTGTATTTTAAATTAAATTTAAAAACTATTTGATTTACTATTAGGATAAAATCTGGATAAATTTTAGAGTTTCTTGATAGTAATTAAATTTTGATAGGATTTGACAAAATTTAAGACAGAATATATTTTGAGATTAAATATCTTTATTTTTAATATAAATGCAATCATAAATTAAAAAAAATGTCCAAATGAATGATAAAGAAATAAATATATTTTTGTATTTTATTATTAAGCTAGAGAAAGAATAATATTAAAGAATTTTTAAATGCATTTTGATTTAATCAGAAATATTGGTGTAAATACTAAAGTTTATGAATGATTCCTTAATAAGTAAAATAATAAATGAAAATGGTCAATTGAACATTAAATTAAAAATTCAAGGCATAAATAATCAAGACAATATTCGAAATATTTGTGAAATTGAACATGTAGATCATGGAAGGCAAACAATAATTGATTAATTACTTAACACATCTGGCATAAATCTTATTGATTAATCAAAAGAGGTATTGATAATTAATAAAAATACTAAGTTTTCATTATAGTATGATTTCAACCTTTCGCCTAATTGAGCAAGATAATAATAATTATTCAATTTGATCGATTGCCCTAGATTACTAAATCTTGTATCTGAAGCTATTTCATCCTCATTGAGAGTATCAGATGGATTCTAAATTGTTGTGGATTATCTAGATGGAACAGTATATTCCACAGAATCCATTTTGAGAATGGCTGTGTAAGAGAAAGTCAAACCTGTGTTAATGGTGAATAAATTAGACAGAGCAATTCAAGAAATACAACAAGATAGTGAAACTATTTAAACTATACAACACTATTTACATACTAATCAGATGATATGGTAAGGAACTGTAGCATTCGGATCAGGAAAGAATGGTTGGTCATCAACATGCATAAAATTCGCTGAACTATATGATACTTAATTCAACACAGAATCAAAGAAGTTATAAGACAAAATTTTGGGAGAAAATTACTTAGATACAGAAACCAACAGTTGGATTAAGGATAGTCATAAAAATAATAGTAAAGAATTTTGAAGGGCATTCGTTGGTTTAATATTAGACCCAATCTGCAGACTGAAAGAAGCGATTATGTTTGGGACACTGAAATTTTAAATAAGATATAGACTGTAATCTGAATTCAGCTTGTGAGTTAATTGCATAGCCTAGGCTTTAAGAACCAATATTATTGACTAAAGTAACTGTTCCAAATCAAGTTACCGCTGGAGTTTACTCATGTATTAGCATTAGACAGGGAATCATAATTGATGAAGAACAGATCGTTGGCTCACCACTAACAAGAATCAAATCTTATTTACCAATGGCTTAATCGCTTGGTTATGCTGCTCATCTTAGATCCTTAACATTAGGTTAAGCATTTCCTGAATGTCGATTCGATCATTGGGCTGTCTTAGTGGAAGATCCATTCGAGCATGGATCCAAGCTAATGAAATAGTACTCAGTATTCGTAAAAGAAAAGGATTAGGAACTTAATTACCTAATATAGATGAATATCTAATTCAATCATGATTGATAAATATAATTAAAGATTAATTTCAGAATTAATTGCATAATTATTAATATGTATAAATTAATTTCCAAATTAAGATAAATATATTCTTAATAAATCAATCTAAATTTTCAACATTATTTTATTAATAATTCTATAGGGTCTATTTTTCCCTTTACGGATCTAATTCTATAGATTCCACAGGTTAAACACTTAATTTATTAGATTCTTTTATGCTTATAAGCAGAATCTAATTAGAATCTAGTTTTCCACCCATTTAATGGCTTTAGATTAATGCCACATCAAAGTGTTGTTAAAGAATAAATTAAATTCTAGATATTTCATACAATATATTGTTAAGTTTACATTTTTCTTTTGCCCTTGCTTTTAAAATTTGATTCGATACTTTTCTTATAAATTATCGATAGGTGAATTAAAACGATTGTTGCCTTTGTCATTTGAAATTTTAAATTGATTAAAATTAATATTTCTTTAAATATGGATAATACATTGTAAAAATATCATTCAATAATTCATTCTCTAACAATTTAGCATTATAAAATAAAACTAAATATTTCAATAGGAATATTAATTACACAATTGAACCTATTTAAGCCAATATTGAACCTAATTTTGGATGAGTTATTTCCTCTTTAATTGAGATATTGTTAATTCTAATAAGATAAGTGTTAATTATTTTTGTGAAAAGTATTTATCGATTGCTTAAGTAATGAATTCATAATTATTCAGAAATTAGAAACATTCATAATTGTTAAATACTATACCACTATCAATAATAGTTTCCTATTATTTTAATAGAATTTATGAGTATTGAGGTAAATTCACATCAAAACTGGTATAATATAACTTATTGAAATATTCAAGTTCTTAGTTATATAATTTAATTAACTTAATCTAATATTTAGAAATAGAAACCCATGATATTTGGAAAGGTATGTATGAATAGTATACTCATCTGCACAATTGCTTCCATCTACGGCAAACACATCTGAACATCTTGCCAAAACTATTAAATATTGTTTTTGTTCTTGCTAATATTTATCTTAATGATCCAAAGTATTTAGAATTAGAGAAGCATTATTTAATTTAATAAGATAAGGGTATTCTTTACTATTAAATAAAGGAATTGGCTCATCATATATAGTTTTGTCTTTATAAGTAAATAAAAGAGGGGTGATAATGTTATTTACCTTTTAAAAAGGATCGAAATCCCCTTAGAAGTCTTACAAGGATATTTATATTGTTTAATTTTGCAATTAGAACTCAGAATAACCTAAAGTTTATTATTTTGAACTGATAGTTGGAGCAATTTAATAATTCATCCATAAAATAATAACATAAAAAAGTAAACTAGACTTATGCTTCCTAAACCCAAAGTTACTATTCCACCAAGTTTGCTTTTATACATTGGATTGTTTTTATTTGTTGATAGGAAAATTGGGACACCAAAAATATCTATTTGC